AACATGACCTCGTTCTATAGCTCAGCTGAAGGATGTAATCTGGCTCACAGTAAAACAAAATGTAATATGATTCCTGGTTCTGACTGAGAGGATTACGAACCGAATTATGAACCCAGATAAGGGAGACAGTGACTTGTTTTCTCTTTCCAAATGAGAAAGAATCTGATCTATATTTTTTTACTTCATAACGACGGAACTTAGTTGATCTTTATGTTCATTTAAAGGGAATATAATCTTTTATATCTACACAGAGATTTTCATGGCAGGGTGGGAGTAATATGCTCTGTGACCTCAACTAAGAAGTGGGGGGTGGTGGCCTGAAACATGGTGTCAGCACGAGTTGTTTACTTTAAATTCACCTAAAGTGAAGTAAGTCACTTTCTTCATTTTTCAAGTGATGGAAAACTGATTTTAACATAATTTAAGGGGAATGATTCAATTCCCTCACATAAAAATTGATCTACTTTTTGATGGGAGAAGGACATTATTTCTGGGCTTATATAGCGGGAATGCAACCTGGTGACCCAACACACACACACAGGGTGGCCGGGTGACCTACATCCCTGGTAATGTCTTGGTGATAACTTCAATGAGGTCACTCCACCCTGACCTGTTCTGCCCTAGTCTCTCTGAGATGTAAAATAATTATCTCTTGTACATTATTATATCAAACAATTATTGGTCATAATAATTAAGATGATCACCACCTTAAGCTTGAGGTAGAGTGTAGCATCAATAACTTAATATTTTATTTTCCTTAACAAGATATTTTACGGTTTTGAATAAAATATAATACAAATCTCAGCATCGGAACTTAACATGGCATAAATTATACTAACCTAACCTGACCTGACCTGACCTGACTTCACCTGACCTAACCTAACCTGACTTAACGAAACGTAACCTAAGACGATCTAAATTTATTTTGATCATGACCTAACTTAACCTAACCCAAACTGTGCTCATCAAACCCAAGATGTCCTAAACTGACCTAACCCTTGCTGACCAAAGCTAACCTAACCTAAGTTACTTTAACCCAATCTAACCTACCCAATCCTTACAGGTGAAATGTACCTACGTGTAATTTACCTGTGTTAAAGTCATGACGAGCCAGACTGTGTCCTCTGGATGGTGTTGAGAGTGGACAGGGAGGGGGTGAGCGAGAGCAATAGTGTAGTGTTTTAGTAAAAAATAAAATACCAATTACAGGTATTTATTTTGATAAGTTACGGTAATACAATTAATAAGTGTATTTGAGGTTAATGAGTTTTTTCAGATCTGGGAAATAAAAAAAGAATATTGTGAGTTTTCATTGTTGGTGTTTTCTGTTAGGTTGATGTCACACTCACGAAACAAAAGTCTGTTTACTCGTCTGAGACTTTGAGCAGATGGAACAAGTCCGTGAACTGCTTGTCTACCTATACATGTGTAATTGACGTCTCATTTGGCTGCGGTACAGTTTCGAACAGGAGCGCAAAAATAGTTTCATTTCGTGAAACTTAGTGTAGAAATCCTACGTGTATTTTAATGTTCGATTTGGTGAAATAGATCAAGTAAATTAGTGGAAATCTTAATTAGTTAGAAAGGAAATTAGGATGTTAGTCTCAGAGAGAGAGAGAGAGAGAGAGAGAGAGAGAGAGAGAGAGAGAGAGAGAGAGAGAGAGAGAGAGAATAAGCGGCTACTGCTCATTGCGGTCTTAAGCCAGTACAGTATACGAGGTCAACATTTATGGCGCAGAATTTCACGAAACTGTAAGGTGAACTGCCCTATGTCTTCCATAGTAATACAAGCGAGATAGTCTACTAACCTAAAAGGCTGAACTTTACCTCACCAATACTATACCACACAACCTAAGTCAATCAAGGTGATGTATCTGGTAAAAAATGCCAGAAAGATTAATATTATCACCTACAATATCTCTCCGACCACCTCTCGCTCTTATAGGAAAAAAAATAAAACTCGTCTTGAATTTGAGGGTTTTTTCTATGTTCTTAAGACAACTATAACCTTAATTCTCACACATGAGTATTTGTATATTATGTAATACTAAATATAGAAAATATATGGTATATTGTTGAAAATCCCACAGCGGTATATAACCAATCACCAAAATTTCTCTTAAGAACAGAGCAAGTAAATGTAATCTCTTCACACCTCCGGAAATAGTTAAGCTAACCCATTTTTTTCATCCCCACTAAGTTGCTTCCTCACCACAACAACAACAAATAAAAACAACCCCTACCGGTAATTACGTTTTCTGTGGTGAGCTTCCCACCATGTGATCTCCGGGAGAGAATTACTCCGCTCGCGGCGACAACTCATCAGTTTCATTATAACACGAGGATTATCTGGTCCTGCAGGCGCTCACACACACACATTAACATGAAACAAGGTCGGGTTACCACAGACGCTTGGCTGCAGGGAATTTGTATTGGGACAAAAATTAGGATTAAACTCTCCGGGTCTAAACCATCACGTTTCACTTACTTTTTTTTTCCCTTAAAGTCGGAATTAAAACGAATAATATTTTTCTATATACCACAATAGCTGTTGTTGTTTCTAACTAACCAAAGAAAAAATTACCATGAAAATTATCTGATATGATGGCACATAGTTCCTGCTGCCAAACTTTGCATCAACGATGGGAAACACCAGACGATATTAAACAAACTCTACCACAAGTATATTATAAGAAACAAGTGTGAAAAGGTTAAATATGTCAATTGATTTACGTGTGTGTGTGTGTGTGTGTGTGTGTGTGTGTGTGTGTGTGTGTGTGTGTGTGTGTGTGTGTGTGTGTGTGTGTGTGTGTGTCTGTGTGTGTGTGTGTGTGTGTGTGTGTGTGTCTGTGTGTGTCTGTGTGTGTGTGTGTGTGTGTGTGTGTGTCTGTGTGTGTGTGTGTGTGTGTGTGTGTGTGTCTGTGTGTGTCTGTGTGTGTGTGTGTGTGTGTGTGTGTGTGTTGTGTGTGTGTGTGTGTGTGTGTGTGTGTGTGTGTGTGTGTGTGTGTGTGTGTCTGTGTGTGTCTGTGTGTGTGTGTGTGTGTGTGTGTGTGTGTGTCTGTGTGTGTCTGTGTGTGTGTGTGTGTGTGTGTGTGTGTGTGTGTGTGTGTGTGTGTGTGTCTGTGTGTGTGTGTGTGTGTGTGTGTGTGTGTGTGTGTGTGTGTGTGTGTGTGTGTGTGTGTGTGTGTGTCTGTGTGTGTGTGTGTGTGTGTGTGTGTGTGTGTGTGTGTGTGTGTGTGTGTCTGTGTGTGTGTGTGTCTGTGTGTGTGTGTGTGTGTGTGTGTGTGTGTGTGTTTGTGTGTGTGTGTGTGTGTGTGTGTGTGTGTGTGTGTGTGTGTGTGTGTGTGTGTGTGTGTGTGTCTGTGTGTGTGTGTGTGTGTGTGTGTGTGTGTGTGTGTGTGTGTCTGTGTGTGTGTGTGTGTGTGTGTGTGTGTGTGTGTGTGTGTGTGTGTGTGTGTGTCACTAAAATAGAAGTATCGGCTATGAAGCCTTAAAAGACAACTGCAGTTTTTGGGGAATCGATAACTTTTTGCTTTATTGTTATAATTCAATGAAAATTAATGAGCATATGTGAATATTTCCTCGGTTTCATTTAAGGCGTCGTTTAATACCATAAGCTACTAAAATTGGTTAGGTTAGGTTGGCTTAGGTTAGGTTTGAAACTACAGGTATTAATTTTTTTGTTTTCTATTTTATGACACAGATAAGTTATGGGTGGTCGACAATCATCCCTATTTAGTGCACATAAACAGTACTGTATATACACACAGACATAAGAAATATAAGAGAAAAATAGACTGCCAATATGTGAGAGTTATAGCCAGTATTGGTGGATGAGCCCGGCGTTATTTACACGTTTGAGAAAAATGCAAATTACTCGCCGTCATGTACAAGAGAGTTGCGGTAAAACTGTGATAGAACGTCAATGTACCTGACATGTACAACGGAATCTCTGAAAAGATTATGTTATTTTATATGAACAGAGATTTTTCAGGGTTGTGGTGTATGATGAGGCGTGAGCGGTAATGTTTACAACCCCGGAGCGTTCGTCAGCACACAAGTTTAAACTATGAGTTGTATTATTGACCATCTCAGTGTACCTTCCTTCCCAGTCTTCAGGCTAGAGTGATTAAATGTTTTTCTTTCACTCTTTGAAATACATAGCAACTTTCTCTTACTAACTTTCTTATTATCTCTAATTCTTTTCGTTTTCTTTTATTTAATTTTAATTCTCATCCTAATCTCTCTCTCTCTCTCTCTACCTCCGGAACCGTAAACTCTATCAAATGTTCCATACAATAATTCGTAACTCTAATGGCTGTTAACGAAATATCCATTCTAAACCAAACATGCCTTAACAAAATTTCCATTCATTTATTTTATTCTTCAAAATCTGTATCTAAATAAAATGTTAAACGTAATTTATTGATATTTGTTATGTCTATGTTAACTGTGGCAACATATTAAGATACAGTCTGATACAACCACCTACGTCTTAATCACACGTCTAGTAGTCCCTTCCTGTGGTAATTTCATTCTTTATCGACAAAAAAATTACGAGATATAATTCATATTTTCATTACTATTTTCGCTTCATAAAAACTTACACCTATATATTTAATAACTATATATGACAGGTGTTGTAAAATGTTGTTAATAATAATAACTTGTAAAAATCATACAAGGTTTTTACTTATTTCAGCTATCAGCTTTATCGCATTTTCTCGTCTCATTTATTGTGTTAGAACTTATGGCTCTCCGATATAAAAGGAGAGCATCAAAATAAGTAAAAAATAAATAAATAAACTACAAAATCAACAATAAATCGCCTCAGAATTAAATAAATACATAAATACCTTCAATACAACTTTCTTATACTGTAACACATATTAAACTAAAAAAAACAGACTTCAATAAACTTTGTAAGACCTCGGAATACCATCAGCCAGAGACAACAACACGTCCCTAGTCTAGACACCAGCTCACTTGAATGGTATCACCTGGTAACATATAAGCGCCATCCGACCATCGTGGCTCCAGGAGAAGTGGGTCACTGGTGTGTTCCTGTCGTTTATGAGTTCGATGCTCCAGCGGCCCTCGTACTTTATCCAGACGAAGATGATTCCTGAGGAGTCGCATGTCGCAAGTTTCTGATACGGTTCGTTCCATTTTACCAGCGTCACCTGCGGCAACAAAGAGAATAAAAGTTAAACATTTTATTTCTACAAGTGTAATCTAATTTTTTTTTTTCGTTCTTCTACTCCGAGGGAAAAAATATATTCCACTATGTAAATTATTCAGGTGCAGTAAGAGCCACTAGGCACATAAGTTTCTATATTAGATAAAAGCTCTCCACTTTACACACTAACTGGCCACGTAAGGTTGTGTCAAAATCAGGAGAGTTTCCATTTCTCGCCCATTAAAGAAAAATGGTCGTGGAAAGATGTGAACTCGCATGGGCAAACTAATGAGCTGGGTGGAGAGGCCGCCCGCCACGCACACAATGAGGGCTCTTATGTTTACAACCTGTTAGGAATTTTAGCACACAGAGAGGCGACTTGGTAGAAAATAAGGCTTGGCGTGACCCCTAACTGTGAAGTCGAGGTTATGACTCCCTAGTGTTGCGAGGGTCGGAACTAATTATGTTGCGAGTTGTAATGGCGTTATTTAGTTGTGAGGGTTATAATGGCGTTATTTAGTTGTGAGGGGTTATAATGGCGTTATTTAGTTGTGAGGGGTTATAATGGCGTTATTTAGTTGTCAGGGTTATAATGGCGTTATTTAATTGTGAGGGTTATAATGGCGTTATTTAGTTGTGAGGTTATAATGGCGTTATTTAATTGTGAGGGTTATAATGGCGTTATTTAGTTGTCAAGGTTATAATGGCGTTATTTAGTTGTCAGGGTTATAATGGCGTTATTTAGTTGTCGTGTTATAATGGCGTTATTTAATTGTGGTTATAATGGCGTTATTTAATTGTGGGGGTTATAATGGCGTTATTTAGTTGTCAGGTTATAATGGCGCTATAAAGAACAATAAAGAACAATTTTACTAAATACAACACTAACAACAACAACAACACTAACAACAACAATGATAAGGGTGAAGGTGATACAACAACATAAATAAGGTTCAAAACGGACGTAAAAGAACAACAACAGCAACATAAACAAGGAACACTTAGGCTAAACACTACAACAACAACACCACCACCACTACCAACACCAACAACAACAACAACAACAACAACAACAACACCACCACCACTACCAACACCAACACCAACAACAACAACAACAACACCACACCACCACCACTACCAACACCAACAACAACAACAACAACAACAACAACAACCACCACCACTACCAACACCAACACCAACAACAACAACAACAACACCACCACCACTACCAACACCACCACCAACAACAACAACAACAACAACAACAACAACGAACAAATTAGCAAACTACAGATACAATAAAGTCAAGATATATAACTAACCTAACACAACACTACTAACAAAGAACAAATTAATTCAGTCAAACAAGAACAACAATAACAATAAGACCAAACGGTTCTTATACAACAACAAAACAACAAATAAAAAAAATCATATATTCACTTTATCATTGCAGAAAAAAAAATTACTTTTATTTCACCAACAAACACTTTCCCTCATCATACAGAATCTAATTGTTTTTGGCTTTGATTTAGAACCGAGGACAAACACTACACCATCGAGTATAACATAAACCTCTTGGGTATTCAGGCAGACTTGGTTTAAAATACGATCGCCAGCACCACCACAAAAATCTATTCTCAACTTCATACATCAGAGAATGAAATATTGAACCTAACCTCATAACCTTTGCTGCTTGAAGTTTAGCCCCACACACCCCACACCCCCACACCCACCCACACCCCGACACCTCGGACAAGAATGTATGGGAGATATAGCCTGGCTGCTGATGAAGTGTAATGGGATTTGTACTGTATATATATATATTGGTTGTCAGACACCAACTAACAATTTCAATATGTTGGTAGAAATGTTTGCACTTTGTGTTGAAATTATGTACGCTGGGTGTGTGTGTGTGTGTGTGTGTGTGTGTGTGTGTGTGTGTGTGTGTGTGTGTGTGTGTGTGTGTGTGTGTGTGTGTGTGTGTGTGTGTGTTGTGTGTATCCCCTGCATCGATTCCTGCTGGGCCAACAGTTATTTACGAACCTGGCTGTCACTTTCTCTACACAACTCTTTACCCGTTTTTCCGTCTCATTTCCTACATTATTTCCCTTCTTTTTTCTTCCAGTCTCTTTCTCTCTTGTTTCCCTTCTCGTCATTTCTTCATATTTTTCCTCTATGTATTTCAGTCCTCATCCATTTACCTGTTAATTGCCTGATTTCTGCTAATTTTATTTGACCTTCCATTTATTTTTATTCCTTTACTATTTAACCTCTTTAGCTTATCTCTTATTTCCTTGTTGTTGTCTGCCCAGATACTTTAATGTCTCTTGAATCCTTTTCCATTTACATTTTAGTCTCCGATTTCTGTAGGAATTTTCCCAACATTGTGTCTAACATCATACCTCCACAGTACATTACACATGCTCTGCCGGTTTTATATATATATACAGTATAACTAATTTACATCATCAACGGTAAACTAAACCCCTGAACTTGCACATTATATTAAGTGCACTTCTAAACTTACCCACTATGACTTTTAGTAACAGTATTGACGTTAAAGATGGGTAAAATATGGTGAGAGAATTCAGCAAGAATGGCTTTAACCTCCCACCAACCTGTGTGTCACTTGTTCTGCAGAGCCAAGTTGTTGGCCTGAGGTCCAAGGTACCTAAAGTGCTGTAAGTGATCCAGGTGCTATAATACCCAGCCGCTTAGAGTCATCACCCTCTACCAGGCTTAATATTTGGTGTGGTGTATGCTCTTGCTGGCCCTTAACCGAGCATGGGATTGAGAATCACTCTCAAAACAGTATAATAGAAATTGAGTTACAACTGGAAAGGTTATTTTTATAAATATCTTGTAATTTACAAAACTTAAGTAAATATCTTATTCAGGAGGACCGTACTACTTATTCAACTCCATTTTGAATGAAATGAAATATGCTCGAATAGTAAAGTGTCTCCTGTACTATATGTTTTCAATAAACACTAATGAGTATAGTAGAGGAAAGGCTGATCATGGTGACGTGAGAGAGAGAGAGAGAGAGAGAGGTGAAAAATAAACCATATAAAGGTCATTTCAGACGTAAACAGAGCAGAATCAAAATATTATTCTGGGCAGCAAGTGTAAATGGAACAAGCAGATATCTCTATTACGCCAAAATAGTCGATCATTTTAAAAAATTGTGTTTCTGCATATTTTATTTTTCTTCCAATATATTTAGCTTTTTGCTAAAGTTCTTAACAAATGACGTCATTTTTCAATCGATACCATTGAAGTAACCTCCGAGTTGATGACCCAATGAAGGTAGTTAGTTCAGCAGCCTCGATAAAACCGCCGCCGTAATGTGAATCTGTTTATGAGACAATGTACAGTGAACAACGAGCCATCTCCCTTAGTTTTGTCTGATGATCCCTTTAAAGCTGGCAAAACATATATTAGAAAGTTTACCTCGACTAGATATGAACAGCTGGTTTTGTCTGAGTGGCATGATTCATCTGGGACAATGAGCTCTCTCTGTACGGAACATGAAGCATATCCTTGGTTCAAAAATATCCCTGAATGGTTAATGAGGGTATATTTCACAGTCCTCTCCAGGCCCACACTGTTCCCAGAAGGCGTGGCAAGACTCGAGTATTCAGCGATACATTCCTCCGAAACTATGATGATGGTTTGGTCGCTCCTGTAGTCACCACCGATGAACCTTCCATCTGAAATCCGGACTGCTACAACGAATCACCAGACCTTAGATGGAGTTGTGGGTAGCATAAGCTGTTTGAGCTCAATTGCAATTTCAGACATAAGTGTGACTGGCTCCTCATTTACTTGACCACCGTCTCACAAAGTAGCCTGACACTGAGCTTTCCATCTCTTACCCACTTACCCCCCCCAACGTTCTCTTCCTCAAGATTACCTGAACCCAGCTTTTCTCTACTTGTCACCACCACCATCACCTGACCGCTCTCTCACGGCATTATAAAATTACAAAGGAGCAGTAAAATATGCAAGGTTTCATGTCAAGACTCACGTGTGACACTCTCTGCCTTCACTTTACTTTTCTTGTCTCATCACAAAAGATTCTTACAGTAACCTGTTTACTAAGGCAGGGATATAAGACCAGTGCCCTGAGATGCTTTAACTTATATAAGGTACTGACCCTTGTGGTGTTTGCACCACGTGACTGTACCATCTGGTGTTCCTGCTATTAATGACTCCTCCCTCTCTCTCTCTTTGGTTTATATTCCATATTTTATCTTTTTAATATTACACTTATATTTTCTTTTAAGCCTTGTTGATGGCCTTGCTAGGGTATCCTGGTTTATTTTAGACAGTAAACTTGACCAGAAGGTGCAACCACCAACACCCTAGGTTGGAGGGCAGTCCATGTCACTCCCATGGCAAAAATTAAGTTAACATGTTAAAAACAATACCATCAAATTATAGCTGCCAATATTAATTATAATTGGCGGTGCATTTTAGGAAAGTGGCAGTACAATTATGGAAATTGCTTCTTCATAGTTAAATTGATATTGTCCACCGTATTTCATTGTGCCCTCAATTGGTCACCTCACCCCGTCTCTCACTTCCCTGTTAATGCCGGGTCACACAACACCTCATCTCGTATTTACATATTTAACTGTAATAGTGCCAGTTTTTATTTCACCAGATGAATAATTAAAAGAAATTTAAATATAATTCACACAAATTCATTTCAGCACGATCTTCATATTAAAATCCATTGTATAACAACAAAATGGTTTTGGTTTTAATATTACTTACCCTTAGGAATCAAAAAGATTGAACATTATTTCCTCCCCACCTCCGCCATTAAATGTCGCAGGAAGTATTCTCGACTATTTATACAAGTAACAAATATCAGAATAATATATTTTAAACTGTAGGTCAATTCCAAACCATCTGCTTCAGTACATCTAGGAGGCAAGCAACTTCTTATTAATTTCAGCTCTCTACCTCGACTGTAGCCCTGCATAT